TAAGTCATTTTTGTGACTGGAAGACTTATATTTCTGTCACAAGGAAAAATCGCCAGGAGGCCAGGGTGTTCTGAGGTGGGTAGGTGAAGAACAAAAACAAGCATGAATTTGAAAAAAATTACAGAGCCTGGTTTTTATGATGATTAGGATGATTTTAGTTTGTACAAGGGAGTCAGGCAGCCATTGGAGGGTTTTGAACCTGAGGGCAACATGTTCATGACTTATTGATAAGGGGAACTGGATCAGGGAGGGTGGTATAATGGATCAGGGAGGGTGGTATAATGAACTTGAAACAGCACATAAAGCAGGCTTAATTGCAGAAAAGCTTAACAAATATGACTACCCAGAAGAGTAAACTAATCTATATCAAAAAAATATTAAAAATTATACACACAGGAAAAAAAACTGTGATTATCAGTATCCCCAATTCTTAAAGATTCTAGAATCTCTGAAGAAAGGCAACTACTAGTATGTCTATTAGAGAAATTTAGCCTTTTATATGGTACCATTTTTGATTTTCAAATCTTCAAGAATTTTTTTTTAAATGAGGAATAATGCTCACTGGTTGTTAGTGTTGGTGAGATATTTTCATATGTTGCTGATCACAGTTAAATGGCTTTAAAACCTCTGTAAATCAATAAAACAGTGTATTTTCAGAACTTTAAAAATGTTGATGTCGTTTGAGAAGCTTACTTTACATAAATATACTTTCAGAAATTTCTTTATATGCAATGACTTCATTTATAGTCTTGGAAAATTACAGATAATCATATGTCTAGCAATAATAGAGAAATAGTTAAATCATTACAGTCATATGATCTTCAACAATAATATTTGAAAGTAATTCTACCAATATAAAAAAATAGAGGAAAATATCAAATGAAAGTAACATTGTTAAGAACAGCATAATTATGATTATCACAACTATAAAATATAAAGGAAAATTTCTTTGATGAATCAAGTAGGATGAAATAAGCAATGATTATAGGAGATTTCAAAAACAGAACCATTAAGCTTGATTTAATGAATAACTGGATCTCATTATTATATACAGAGAGAATATAGTATATGTGTTCTCTTAAATTTATACAAGTCTAGCAAAAATCAATCATGAATTTATTCATAAAGGAAACCTGAGTACATTTTAAAATTTTAGGTGTTTCTAAAATCTGATAGAAAGTAATAACAGATAACTGACCAATCACATTACAAATTACCTTCTTAGAAATCAGCGAATCCTCTGAATAATCCTTGAATGAATGATTGCTGAAATTATATCAGTAGTTTATGCAAAAATGTACCTAAAGTTATCCTCTAAGATAAATTTAGGTTCATGAACTATTTTAATTTAGAAGCATGTGAAAAAAAATCACAAAAATCAGAAAACCAAAAAGAAAAAATCAATAGAATACAACAAAGCAAAATTAAATATAGGGGTTGGGACAGTGGCTCAGTGGTGAAATGCTTGCCTAGCATGTGTGACGCACTGGGTTCAATCCTCAGTGCCACATAAAATAAAAGTATTGTGTCATCTATGACTAAAAAAAAATTAAGAAAAAAATTAAATACAAAAAGGAATACATGATAGAAAAAATAAGCTAAAAATCTAGTTTCTTGAAAACATCAATAAAGTAACGAAATCATTGTCAATTATAATTGGGCACAAATAAAATTCTCTAATATTCTATGAAGTATACTATATTAGAAAACAAGAAAGGCTGAGCACGGTGATGCACACCTGTAATCCCAGGGACCTATGAGACTGAAGCAGGAAGATGAAAAGACTGAGGCCAGCCTTGACAAATTAGTGAGACCCTGTCTCAAACAAAAAATAAAAGGAGCTGGGGATGTGGCTCAATGGAGAGAGCCCCGCTTTAATCCAGAGTAACACATGCACATGTGCTCACGTGCACGCGCACATATGCACACACAGGTATATATGAACATAAGGAAGATATAACTACAGTTATTTGTATTATTAAGAAAGTTATAAAGAACATTGTATGTGAACTCAGATTTTAGTCTAGAGACACTAATTTCCTAGCAAATAATACTTGTAAAAAAAAAAGAATTGGCTCAAGAAGAGTTAGAAACCTGAACAGATGGTAGAAGAAAACAGAATAATTGTTAAATATACCATTAAAATTACACAATGATTTTATAGTTGAGGTTTCTTTATCCTTTAAAAGAATAATCAATGTCTGTGTCATTCAAACTATTTTAGCCATAAAAACCAATTAAAGTCAAAAAAGAAACTTGGAAATCTAGCCTAACTGTTATAACAGAACTAGATAAAAACTGTACTTTCTCAAGCATACATTCTCTCTCTCTCTCTCTCACTCTCTCTTTCTCTTTCTCTCTCTCTCCTCTGCTCTCTTTTTCTTTATCTCTATAGAATACACAAATTTTGCAGAATAATTTAACATAAAAAATTTTGAAAATTTGAATCTGGCAGTGAATTAAGAAAATACAACCATACGATTTATCATGATTTTTCCCCAAGAATACAAGGATAATTCAACTGAGATAGAAAATCTTGCAGATATTTCATTATGTCAGTACTTAAAAAGAACAAAATTATATGATTTTATTAGTAGATGAATGTATTTAATGTTATTTGAAAGACATTTGTAGTAATACTCTAATGAGGAAAATGAGGAGTTGTCTTAAAGTTGATAAAGGAGATTCAACAATAATTATTAGGGTACATGTTAAGAAGTGGAAAACTAAACACTATTAGTTTATTATAATAAACTGATGTAGGGAGTGTTATTGCTATTATTACTAGGAATATGATATGCATAATCATTCTCACTAGCATTCAATATTTTTTAGAAGTTTTAACTAACAATTAGAAAAAAATAAAACGATTTTTTGCCTAGAAAGCTGGAGATAATATTTTTAAATGAAACAAATAAACATTAGTTGTTAAATGACTAATTCAACATTAATATTCATAAATTATAACTCTTCTTTATTAGCATAAACAGAAATCAACATTAAAATTCTTTCACAATAATAAAAATTATAAAATATCTTTGAATATGCTTAACAAGATACAACTCCTAGTTGAAGAAAACACAAAAGTGTATCAGAGGGCATAAAATGTGACTGAATGGAGACATGCATCTTGTCACAGAACATGGAAGTACTTGACATTCATATCACTCTACAGATTTAATACAATTATTGGATTTTTATTTTGAACTTTTGGGTTCTTATTTAGAATTGAAAAAGTGACTTGGGGGTTCATAGGGGGAATCATGTATTTGGTAAGTACTCAGGAAATTTTAAATAAAAATAACAATGGGGCGCTGGGGTTGTAGCACAGTGGTAAAGTCCTTGCCTAGCACGTACAAGGCACTAGGTTTGATCCCCAGAACTACATAATAAAATAAATAAACCAAATAAAGTTATTATGCCTATCTACAATTAAAAATATTTTTAAAAAAGAATAATAGGGGAGGTCCACCACCAGATAGAAACATTTACATTAAAAAGGAAGTCTTGTACATGTAGCAGAAGAAATGAAGCAAGTCCCATACAGCCACTCCAGTAAAAGGGTTAATATAGAGGAGATGAAATAATTGTCTAAAATCAAGTCTTAAAATAATTTATGGTCTTCATCTCTAAAGTTGACTTGAAATTAGCAAAGAAGGTGATTTTTCCATTTGTATAGTTTTGTGATGACTATTATAAGCATTTGTTGGGCCCTGCTTTGTGTAGTACATTGTGATAGGAACTGGAACCGGAAAGAATAATAAGACACAGTCTCCTAACTCCCAAGGTTTTGGTAATATCAGTTTATTCCTGATAGACTACAAAGATAATCTATCTTTTTCAATTTGGTTTATTAATTTCTTGTAATATTTTTACCTGTTCTGATTGAACAAGTGACATTGGGATCCTCCAATTCACAATCGAGTTAGAACTATAGAGATCACAGTTTCTTTTTCTTTTGCTATAAATGTGAGTTCTTAAAAATGAATTTTGCAGGGCTGGGATTGTGGCTCAGAGGTAGAGTGCTCATCTAGCATGTGCGAGGCCCTGAGTTCAATCCTCAGCACCACCTAAAAATAAGTAAATAAAATAAAGCTATTGTGTCCAACTATTTAAAAAAAAATAAATATTAATTGTGCTATTTCACTCGTGCTCTCCAACTTTTGCTATCCAATTCTCTATGCTTCTTTTAACAAAAATGAAGGAAGAGGTTTTAAAATGTACAGTTATAGGTTCTTTTAAAGTAACCCCACAGGACAGATACAGTATATGCCTTGCTTCTTTGAGTTTGCATTTTTGTTACTATCCATAGTACTCTAGGTGCTGAATTATTTCAGGGAGCTAAGAAAACTCATTTACCCATAGAACAATTTAGTGGTCTGTATACTTTTACAAACGAATCTAGAGTACCACTGTGCTGGAAATCCCCCCAGGCTATGCTTCAAAACCATTTTCAACATGGATAAGCAAGGCATTAACATCTCTTCATGAGGCAAAATCTGGACCATTGCTTTTATACACCATTGGAGAACTCAGTTCATTGTGTCAATAGTGTAGCATTTAGGCTTTCGATTTCCTTCTTTTCCCCTAATAATTTTATGAGTTGTCATTCCCAGTAAGAAGCAAGCTGTCAAGATAAATAAAATTTTCCCAGACTTAACTGAGAAAACCTTCTAATGGTCTGTGGCAGTTAGCTGACAATAATGGTAAGCTCCTAAGCTAGTATCCTTTTGTAGAAAAGGCATCATCTTTAGTAAATTTTTAATTGTTATCACTGTCAGTCAGTTCTAGTACCCATAATTATGTTTAATGGCTTCATTTTGGTCCTTTTGAAAACACTTCTTTCCATCTTTGTACAGAGGGGATACAATGAAATTCGTGAAGTTAAACAGTTCCATTTCACGGGCTGGCCTGACCATGGAGTGCCATACCATGCTACCGGGCTTCTTTCTTTTATCCGGAGAGTCAAGTTATCCAACCCTCCTAGTGCAGGCCCCATTGTTGTTCACTGCAGGTGAGTGGTGGTCCAAATCATTTTGACTGTATGCAGTTAGCTGTTATTCAAGACAAGCCAGGCATGTTTGCATATGCCTATAATCCCAGCAGCCCAGGAGGCTGAGGCAGGAGGATCACAAGTTTGAAGCCAGACTCATCAACTTAGCAAGGCCCTAAGCAACTTAATGAAACTCTGTCTCAAAACAAAAAAATAAAAAGGGCTAGGGATATGGCTCAGTGGTTTAGTGCCCCTGGGTTCAATTCATAATACAAATACACACACACACACACACACACACACACACACACACACACATCAAGGAAAGAAGGCAAGACTTTTACGCACAAATACCAATGTGCATTTTCAAAGTGCCAGCTTGCATGTATTGCAGATAATGTAAAATGCAATAAAGGAAAGTTAACTTTAAGTAGGATATAAAACAGAAACTTGAGAAATACATACACTCGTCCTAATGTGTGTAGTGTTATCTACAATTACAAGTGTGGAAACTGACTTTTAGTGGCAACATCTGTGTTTTTGATCTTTTTTTTTTTTATCACTTTTGCAAATCCCATATTGTCTGGAATGGTAGGTTAAAATAGAGATTTCTTGCCAATCTAGTAAATTCCCACTAGAATCCCCAGCTTTTAAAACTAAATGTGAGACATACAGAGTTACTAAATGGCCTAAATTACAAGAATTTGTGCTGCAAAACAGAGATTTAAATTTTTTTTTCAAAACAACATTCATCAGAGGACCTTGAAAAGTACATCAGTAAAATTCAGCAAATATATGCCCCCCAAATTAACATTATATCCAGACTCCTTCTGATTAGAAACCTCTCTTAAAATGAGCATTCTGAGACACTAAAAGCAAATTACATGGCCTCATATTGAGATGTGACCAGAAAAATAAGTACTGAATCGGAAAAGCTTTTCTAAATGCTACACACCATTCTCAAACAGTAGCCCTACAAGCTACATAATAGGTTGTACTAAAGCATTTCTTTTCTTTCTGAAAATCCAACCTATTCAGGATTTAAATGGCCTTGTACAAAAGGGGGGAAAGCAGCAGAGAATGAAACAAAAGTAAAGTATTCCATAAGGATCAGATACTATGTACCCTGGGAAAGGAACCTTCATTTCAGTCCTCCTCAAGAAATCTGATGTACTCCTCAATTACTTTCCTGTCTCAAACCCTGGGAACAGTGATTGAGAAGATGGTAAGGGGAAAAAAAAAAAAAAAAACGGAGAGAGAGAGACACACACAATATCTTTTGCTTAAATTTCTAAACGAACAGTGAGTTTTAAAAAGTGGATAACAAAGAAATAATGTTATTAGTCATCTAAGCATTTAGAAAATAAGATAAATAAGTTTTCAATTCAGGCTTTTCTTTATTTATCGTAGAGGTTTACTTTCTTATAAATGGCTTATTTTGGAAGTGCTCCAGGAGTCTCAGATACTCTCTTGAAACAGAAATATCATCTGCCACTTAATACCATGCATCTCTGAATTTTTAACATTCTCTGGGGTTAAGATAATCAAAGTACGTTAGGATTTATTTTTTTAGTTTCATATAATAAGATAGTGGTTATTGGGACCTGCTGGTAATCAGTCTACATCTAACAATTCATTTTTATTTTCCCTTCAGATCATGATTCCAATATTGTTTCTCCTATTGAGTCCTCTCTTCAATAGCCATCATTCTCTTCCTACCTGTCCCAGGAGCATTTCCTGTGGATTGTGGCTACTCAGGTTTCCCCCTGAAAGGCTTTGGAACAAATGTGGGTTTTGCTCTCGTTTTTACAGGCATGTCTGTGAGACACTGAGCCTCATTCCCACATGGTTTTTCAGGAGACCCACAAGATGAATGTGAAATAATTTCCATTTGGAGTTAAAATTTATAGCCTGAATCCACCAACTAATTGATCCTATGAGTTTGAAATTATATGTATTAAATCAATGTGAAATGAAGACAATGTGAGAAAAGTATAGAATTTGAACAATGCATGTTCATTATTTTCAATCGGGAAACATTTTAAAACTCTTGTTCCAATCTTCTGTTTATACCAAGCCAGATACTCGACATGAAGTTATCTGTGCATTAATAAGTTTTTAAACAGCATGTACAAATTAAGCATCTCACACTGCATTAAATCAATTTGATTTCACCTCAAAGTGAAAAGATCTTTATTTAATGCCATAAAGATAAACATGTTTCTCACAATTTTTCAATTTAATGTTTTTCACAGTGCTGGGGCTGGACGAACTGGCTGTTACATTGTGATTGACATCATGCTGGACATGGCTGAAAGAGAGGGTGTTGTTGATATCTATAACTGTGTCAAAGCCTTAAGATCTCGTCGTATCAATATGGTCCAGACAGAGGTATATCAGTTTATCTCTAGTGAACTTTCTTTTTTTCTTTTCATCACCCATAAAACAAAATAGTAGAGTAGTAGGTTTAAAAAAATGGATAATCAATGTTAGATCACCAAATCATATAGGAAATTTTTGGTACTATAATATTTCCATAGAGAGAAAATTATCTATATCATCTGGGAATGACCTGCTGGGAATCAGGCATCTATCTACCTTTGACAGAAAAATGTTATTAAAATAGCATAAAATTTTCTTTTCCTTTCTTTTCGTAGGAACAGTACATTTTTATTCATGATGCCATTTTAGAAGCCTGCTTATGTGGAGAAACTGCTATCCCTGTCTGTGAATTTAAAGCTGCGTATTTTGATATGATTAGAATAGACTCTCAGACTAACTCTTCACATCTCAAAGATGAATTTCAGGTATGGACTATTTCTAAGGCCTCTTTTATGACTTGGTACAATTTGTTCTGGGCACTAATAGTTCTTTTAAGAAAGGTCTTTCAAGTCAAATTTATAACCTTTGACCCTATTTCAAGTATAATAAAATACCTGTCTCTTTCATTATACATATCATTGGAGTCACTTTTGTATTAATGAGCTCATTTCTCCTGTATCCTGAAGGGCAAATGAGTTCATACTCAGGGAAGAGAATGAGGACAAAATATTATAAAAGTCAAATTTGGTAATGATTTGTGTGTATTTATAACCTTTTTTTTCTCCATGTAACTTTGTGGATCTTGACCTTCTTGCTATTAACCATGTGAAGAGATCAAGCACATTAAGAAAAATAGCCGAAGTTTGTACTAAACTTTCTCTAAATAGCCCCAAATGTTTTACTGCCCTTAAAACATCCCTGAAGTTGGGTGAAAAATGAAGTCAAGGGTAAACTCTAGAAATTTAATCCCATGAATCTTAATTTAGCACTCTTCCCAATACTCACTGTGTCTTCAAATACCAAAATGTGATGGCAAATGTTAGTTTCCAACCCTGAAAGGTCATTATCAGCATCATGGACCACCCTGAGTGGATTTTCTTTGGTTAGGCAATGTATCTTACCGGTATATGTGTTGTTTACATTCACTTTCCTGTAAGAAGAAGCACCCTGAAAACTCTGCATCTTATTTCTTTGCACTTCTCAGGCTTCATTAGCTTTAACTAAAAAGTCTATCAGCCTGTCATAGTGGCAACTACCATTACCCACACAAATCCTTCACTTTCTACTTGGCCTCCTAAATTCTTGATGGGTGGGTGTTATGCTATTAAATGGGTCACTGTCTTTTAACCTGGGTTCTCTTTTTCCTTTTAGACTCTGAATTCAGTCACCCCTCGACTACAAGCTGAAGACTGCAGTATAGCATGCCTGCCAAGGAACCATGACAAGAACCGTTTCATGGACATGCTGCCACCTGACAGATGTCTGCCTTTTTTAATTACAATTGATGGGGAGAGCAGTAACTACATCAATGCTGCTCTTATGGATGTAAGAGACTGCCTTCTTTGTTAGTGTAAAGTGCCATGAAAATCTACATAATACAACTAAACACTGGCTAGTTTTCTTGTCTAAGAATTTAAAATGGCTTAGAAAGAAAAATCGGAAACTTTGAAATACAAGTTTTTGGAGAGCTATTTTAGATTTTTCCTTACAGAAACTCTTAGTAGCTATACTTTTTGAAGTTTTATTGTAGATTTAGAGCTTGATTGTCAATTATTATATAGGATAGACTGCAGGTTACATTTCCCATCTTAATTATTTTCAAAAAAGAAAGTCATGGCTAATCTGTTCTGAATATCATTAGGAATGAATGTTTTAAATGACAGAATGCCATATTGTACCAAATTTATACTAATTTGTAAAAATTGGGGGAACTTTAATCTGTGGCATTTAATATTCTAATAATTTATAGATAATTTGTTTTATTTACCATTAGTTAATAGAGACTACTTAAAAATAACTAGGGAAGTATTAACCCGGGTTAATACGATGTTAATCCATCCATTATCATGAAAGAGCTATCTTGTTTTATTCCAAGTTTTATCAAATGTGGGTACTCCAACATATACTTGGTGTATTAGTAATCCATAAATAGAATGACATGGAAAGAGAGTTTTAAATGATTTTAAATGATAAAGCTACCTTACTTTAGTTAACCTGGGAAAAAGCAAGACTATCAAGGTTCAGGATCATTTAAAATAGCTTACCATATTCATTTCTAGCTTTGGCCCTTTTGACTACTAAATCATAGCAAGAAGAAATTTGAAGTCAGAAACCTTTTCTTTCTAACTATAATGAGGCTAAGTTGTTGCTCCTATTGTGTTTTCTAGAATTACCATCTGTAAATTAGCAGCCTTGTATAGAGTAGAAACTTGTAATAGCCCACATTCTACTCCCAAGACCAGTCTTATCCAGTGACTTGCTCTTATTTGTGCTACAGAGAAAAATAATCTAGACAAGCTCAAATAGAAAGCTCTCATCCTTATTGCACCTCACATCTTGCTGGTGGTTTAAATTAATACATAGAAAAATATATTTCTATTTTAGTATAGATTACGAATCTGAAGAAAACCAGATTTCCCAGACCAGATAGACATTGCCTTGACTATCCCCTCCTCTGGGAAAAGATAATATGTTGAGTCCTAATCAAAGGGCACTTAGTAAGCAAGGTGCCATCACACCCTTGACTGGGACCAAGATGTGTTAACTCTCTGTCACTTGAGAATTTTAAATGATTGAAACCGTCATTCCAAACACCGATGTTCACTGATGTTCACGGCCCAGGCATCATAGAAAATGGATTGCCTATTGCAAAATATGTTGTGGATACCCATATAATATAAAAACATGACAGTTGGAGATACCTGTGTTTGTTATTATTTGAAAAGGAGGGGAGTCAAACAGTTTTATTTATACACACACACATTCTCACAGGAGATTGACAGACAAACACACTGGGGATTTTGTGCTTACTTTGCCTTCAGTCTTTCAGAGACTCACTTACCTGTGGGAAATTGAAACAGCCCAGCAAATGGAAGATCTTTATCTCAATCTTTAGTTTCATCTTTTGTATTTGTACCATATTTATGTTTCTCAATGAAATTCAGTTCTTGAATTATTTTAAAGCCATCAATGTTTTCCCACCAAATTGATGCATTACTAGTTCCAGTGAATTCCAGTGACCCCCACAGCTTAGGCAGCACTCTGCCTCCATCTCTATGTATAGCCAGCAAGCACCTCTACTGTTCCTACATTGAAGTGTGTTGAATCTGGACAACCTATCTGATCATGCATTTTGAGTTATTATATTTTCTACCTCCTTTCTTCACAGAGCTACAGGCAACCAGCTGCTTTCATTGTCACACAATACCCACTGCCAAACACTGTGAAAGACTTCTGGAGATTAGTGTATGATTATGGCTGTACTTCCATTGTGATGCTAAATGAAGTCGACTTGTCCCAGGTTAATAGCCATGGATTGCTTTATTTATTTGTTTATAATTTAAGTAGTAATAAAATGCTAGTTTTTGCTGTATAGTACTCTAATTAGAAAAAATAATGCACCTTTATTTTTCTTTCAAAACATTCATCTCCTAGGGCTGCCCCCAGTACTGGCCAGAAGAGGGGATGCTACGATACGGCCCTATTCAAGTGGAATGTATGTCTTGTTCAATGGATTGTGATGTGATCAACCGGATATTTAGGATATGTAATTTAACAAGAGTAAGTCTTTGTTGGGTCATTCTAATGAGTCTGATTTAGAGCAAGCAGATCACCATCATGATGGGCTAGAATTCAATTCAGACAATAGAGAGTGAAGAATTCATAAATACTACATGATCTATCTCAAAGCTAGTAAACATCTAATACTTCAATACAAGGAAAAAGACATATCAAATGCAAGAAGTTAGAAATTTGAGCTAGATTTATGGGACACTTACTAGACTACCATATCCCATGGTGATCTAGACTCAGGTGCAGTGGTTCAATTACCAGTTGGGCCTGATGGCCTCAGTCTGGTTCCTGTGAAGGATGGCTGCATTTCTTATTAGTACTGACACTCAACAGATGCATGTGATTAAAAAATAAGAACATAATAGTGATGATGATGACAGAGAAGCTTTAGCCCAGAATGAAGGGATATATCAGATCAGCCTATAGGAAAGACCAGTGTCATTATTCCAAGACCTGTGCATGAGAGAGAGATCCAGGACCAAAGGAGGAGATAAATCACAGCCATCACCGATTCTCTTCCAACACGAAACCTCATCTTTCTCTTAATGGCCTGATGTCCAATTCTGTCCAGATGTAAAAGGAGAAAGCCAGCTGATACCACTGTGCCTTTTCCCAACTGCTAAGTACTAGTTGTTTCCCTCAGAAATCTTTTCCCTGACTGTTCATACACTTTACTCTAATGACAAGTTTGAGTATCTCGCCAAAAAAAAAGGTATTTATAATAAATATTGTTTTATGTAATCAGATAGCAAACAGTATGTGAAAAGAAAACATTAGTAGCCTCCATAGACTTGTGCTTTTTAAAAGGGAAATTGCTGTGTTTTTTTAAAGTTCCAGCTTTACATATGTGTATTATTTTGAATATGTGATTAGGATTGTCTTGTTTCAGTGTTTCTCATATCCAAATGACTATATGTGTGTCGTGTTAATTAGTCTATATGTATATAACTATGAGCAAGGGATAAAATCATATCCAATTCTATTGCTCATTTCAGTGGGGAAAAAAGGATAACTTCAATCATGTCATAATACTCATGCATATCTTAGATGTTAATTTAAATGGAATCTCATTATGTCTGCACATCTGTTACATTATGGTTCTAGTAATATTTTAGCTGAGAAACTGTAGCTGCTAAACGAAGAAAGTAAAACTCATCTGTGAATTGAGATGTTTGTATACAAATTTTTCCAGGAACAAGACCTGAAATCTGTATTACTTTTTATAAGCATATATATTTATTTGTTTTTATTTATCTTCCTCTATATTTGATGTTCTGGTACATTCTTTTTTTTTGCTCTCATGCATTTTTTCCCCAGTTTGATTATTTAGTATTATTCACTTCATCAAGCTTTTAGTATGCACAAATAACAAGTTGGGTATTGTAGGAGTTGCATAAACCCTTATGATGTGGAACTTAGGATCTGATGCCTATGATACAGATTACTCACTGTGTTGCATAATAGTGTTCCTTATAGTTCCTATCAAGAGTTTAAGGTTTTGATTTCTTTCAACAACATTACTATTTAAAAAGTATTACGTATACTTCTTGTGATAGAGTTTAGGAAGAAAAGAAAGATGTCCATATCTTTAAGGAATTTACATTTTGCCAAGGAAGATAAGAATTCAGCAACTAATTATATAATCATTTATATATTAATATGATTTACATATGCTAGGGATTAAAAGTCCAAAATAAAGACTGTTTCACTGGATGATCTGACACAGCAGAGTGATCAAAGAAGACCTTTCTAACATTGAGGTATTTTAAGCCCAAAATTAAGAACCTATAGGAGTTATTCAGAGTGAGGTAACCACGTAGTTTGTGTTGTTGTTTGGGGTACAAGTGATTGAACCCAGGAGCACTTAACCACTGAGCCACATCCCAGCCCTTTTATTTTTTTAATTTATCTTTATTTATTTTGGGACAGAGTCCTGAGAAGTTACCCAGGGCCTCAATAAGTTGCTGAGGCTGGTAATCAACCATCTTTTCTTGCCCAACATGGAGAGCTTTCCCAGGACAACTGAGTTTGAAATGTTCGCACAAAACCTATTTCAAATTGGTCACTCTTCTTGGGATTGAAAAGGGCAAGCAAGAAGGAAGTTTTCTAGATGAAAGAGACAGTTTCCAAAATCCCCCAGGCAAGAAGTGACTTGATAAATAGAATAAAGAAGTCAAAATGTCTAAAACTTGAATACCATGTTAGATTAAAAAAAAAAAATTGGAGAAGGAGGTGGAGCCAGATTATATAAGAACTTTAAAATTATGGCAGAGATTTGGATTTTATGCTAAGATCATTTGAAAGCCATTAAAGCAGGGAATGACAAGAACATTTTTGTATTCAAAATAATCATGATGCCTGTACTAACAAGGGATTGGAGGGAGATCAAATTTCATTCAGGGCGATCAACTAGGAGGTAATTGTCACAATTGTAATTGGCAGTGGCCTAAAGAGGAGATAAATTTGCAAGTTATTTAAGAAACATAAAGATAGGGATCAACACTGAATTTGGAGCGTGAGGATAAACCAGGTATAGACAAAGATTCCCATGTTTTTTGCTGCTATAACCTGGAATGTCTCCATATGGGCATGTACATACTGGGGCTTACATCAAGTAGGCTCAATCCAATGTAAATTTCATTTGTATTGTTAATTGTATATACTTTTTATTTTTTTTCCCTAAATTCCAGTCTCAATTCACATAAAAATCCATTTCCCTCTACAGCCACAGGAAGGTTATCTGATGGTACAGCAGTTCCAATATCTAGGTTGGGCTTCTCATCGAGAAGTGCCTGGCTCCAAACGATCATTTTTGAAGCTGATTCTGCAGGTGGAAAAATGGCAGGAAGAATGTGAGGAGGGGGAAGGCCGGACGATCATCCACTGCTTGTAAGTGGGGCAGGTTGGCCCAGCCAGTCAGGGGGGCTTTTGGTGGGCATTTCCTCATTAGCCTTTGAAATTTTTGTGTCAAAGAATTCTCAACTGAAATCTTAACCGACCTCCCATATATATTTATATTTCTAAATAGAGCTTCTGCCTTATGATATTATAATTAAGTACTAATTTTAATTTTTCGATTTTCTAAATATTGATTATTTTATAGCTATTCATCTAATTGAAACTCTTTGGAACACTGTTCTGAACAACTTCTCTCATTTACACATTACAAATATGTCAGAATCTCAAGGAATCTGAGTTTCAGTACTCAGTGCCTATAGCATATTCCTAAGTGCAAGCTATTGAGCTCCCCCATCCTCAAGCTTCCTCCTCCCTGCCCTGTACACATATATGCATGAATATAAAGCAAAACAAAGATACGAATGAAAAAAATGTTGAAGACAATTCTTTGTTTCTCCTAACGTATATGACAGTATGACATGTGGTTCCCCAAACCTGAAAAAATACCTTTGCACTCTCTGTTTCAGAAATGGTGGTGGTCGAAGTGGTATGTTCTGTGCCATAGGCATCGTTGTTGAAATGGTGAAACGGCAAAATGTTGTTGATGTTTTCCATGCAGTAAAGACACTGAGGAACAGCAAGCCAAACATGGTGGAAGCCCCAGTAAGTCACAGTCTTGGACACAGAAGGGGTCTTAGAGGTTATATAGTCATATACCTACTTATCAATTGATTTAATGCACTTGAGGAAGCTGATGTGAAAAGGAATTGCAGAGACTTTCCTGCCTAATTGATAGATTGTGAAGTATCTTCCTCTGCCTACATAAATTAGTGAACATCACATAAAGTATTAATGATAAAGGAAATTCATTTTGAGAAATGCATAGGACTTTTTTTTCTATTATAGCCAACAAATATTTGCCATAATAAACCTTGGTGAATGGTTCTTTAAAAAAATCCTTCTATGTAGGCTGTTTCTCACTTATTTTTATTTCTTAAAGCTTATTGAGGTAACAGGGTAAACATGTATCTGAGGTCATACTCGGGTTAATTCAGTACCTTAGACACCCAGTGTTTTTAAAAGGCAGAGAAATTTATTTTAGTCTGTATTCACAATTATTCTTTTCCTGATCAAATTATAAATTGTTAAGCTATCATTATGCACAATTTTCAGCTTTTACAACAATAGAGCACAGTTCATATAATATTCTATGAGTTTGAGCTCATTAAAACCAGAACACAGCTTGGAGAATATGAGCTGATAGGTATATATGGGAAATTTCATCTGGGTGAGGCTGTATGTGGAGTAAGAAAGAAGGTTCTTACCTCTCTAACATATTTTACTTCTAAAGAGAGCTATCTGTGGGTTACACATATGTACATAATGGGATTAGGTTAGGAGCAGCTGTGTAGTTTATGCTCACAGAAAAGTAAACCAGAAAAACCAAGGCATCATTGTTCTTGCCCTACATTTATCAAGATGATCAGATAACTAAAATGAGCAATTCAATAAGCCTTAAACTATTTTCACCACTTCCTGCTCCTGGATTGTTCACACAAAATGTGCATTGCTTCCTGAGACAAAAATCTGAAGAATAAGGTTTATGTTCTTTCACTTTTACAAGTGGTAGCAGATTTCTACCCTTTCTAACCCCTTCTGACCCCTCTGCCCCGTGTTGGACAAGATGATGTAGGTTTTGTCTGAGGTGCTAACAATTGAGGAGAGAGAGGGTAGATTTGAAGGATTTTCAAGGTAGAACTTGCAGATCTTCTTACAAAATGGATAGATAATAGTTATGCCCTTAAACTCTATTGTTTGAAGGTTTGTAATCTGTAAAATTTAAACTAAGCTTCCCTCACAAGGATTAAGTCATCTTAAAACCATCCTGGGGTTCACTTCTAGTTTCAGAATTCAACTTTTACCTTGAAATTTAAGGTTGATATCCCAGCTTTTCTTTAAATTAAGATCCTGTAGTTTAACTCTGCCATTGTAGAACATTCCAATGTGTTACTGTTTTCTTTTACATTCCTGCCCCCATGAATCGTGTCCAAACATCAAGATTAATGATTAAAGTTCATTGTTCTGTGGGGTTTACCTGAATTTGGTACAGACATTTAGATTGTAAACAAAATTGATGGAGACTATTTTTAAAAGACACAACTTTCTAAGTACTCTTTGGGTCTTTCTATGTACTTACCATAGCATTAGGCTAATTTATATCATATTCACTTTGATAATTAGTATAAAATGATGAACTCCTCTTGGGAAAAGTTTTTTTTTTTTTAACCAGTTTCATTGTTAGAGACACCAAGAAGTTCTGTTTAGAAGTAATGCATATTTTAGATAGATAGTACTAAAGTTCAGTACTAAAGTACTATAGTTCAGCCTGAAGATTTACCTGCTTGGACAAAATTGGGAAGTTCAAAATGAGTTACATATTTTAAGTCAGAATTTATAATATGGTCTCTAAATTTTTCAAAATAATTGATAATTGATCAAGTCCATGGATAAATTTAAAAGAAAGATGATTTTAACTCAGAAACTTTTTGGCAACCAAGTTGTCTTAAAGGTTGCAGAAACAAATTGTTAGATATAAATAAAATTAAAATTTTTAAGAATCACTCTTTTACTTAACAAATATTTTTGTAAAATTTGCTTAAATTATACTCTGAAGGATCATGAACTATGACAAATATAAAAACTTAAAATTTCAAAAGGCACTTTAAAACAACTTTCTACTTTTCTCCCCCTCTTTCTTCCTTCCCCACCTCTCTCCTAAGACAATAATATAAAATATGGAGAAAAGTATTTGCACATTTTGTAAGCAATATAAAATAAAGAAAACAGTAAAAAGCAACTTAATAGTGAAACAATCAATATGATATATTTTTATGTAATGTTAGAGATATTAAGTAGCATGGGAAAAACTTCATAACATTGTTACATAAAAGACAATAAAATACAAAATTCTACAGCAAAATATGTAATTATATTCATTCTGAGATAATTATTTCAACCATGTAAAAAAGCAGGCTGAAACAAAGTAAGGCAATATTTAAACAGTTGGTTCTTATGGTTGAATTATAGCTCTTTTTCTGATTCTTTATATTTTTATGTGCTGAGAAAATTTTCTGTAATGATGAAGTATTACTACTATAATCATATAAAAAATCTGGACATTTCAGAATTTTTTGATAGAAAATATATCAAATTTTTGATAGAGAAAGATAAAATGTCTTTTAAATCATTTCTCTTTTTTAAAACAGGTGTTATTTGACTCAATTATAAAATATGTATGCCTAGATTTCACCTTGTATATATACAAATAATTTGAAATTCTTTAATAATGTAAACTTGATTTCAAGTACTCAGTTGTTAGCTGTTATTCACCATTCACCTTTTTAAAACTTCTCTCAACGCTTTTGTCTTAATGTTTTTAGGAACAGTACCGTTTCTGCTATGATGTAGCTTTGGAGTACCTGGAAACATCTTAGTTGGGTGAGACTTTTTACAGTGCATCCAACTGGAAACCGATTCACCTGTTGAGCCAGCAACTGTTGTACCTGTTACACCTGTGCAGAAAGATTTTAATGTGGGGGGTGGGAGGATTTTACATTTGAGAGGTAAAAGTATTTTTCTTATGAAGTTGTGTATCTTAATAAAAAGGACTTGATTAGTTTCTATTACTGTATTAAAGTGTCCACATTTAGTGTCACATAAATTATATTTAATAAGAACCAGATTCAAATGAGAACTTATCAGTGTTTGTACAGTGAATATGCAGCCTTTTCTCCTCATTTCAGTCAAACAACCACCACATGTTGCATGAATTCGTACTTTCTATGTGGCATTTCTCTCCCTTTTTAAAAGAAAAGCTGTTGAATCTTTAAAGAAAGAAGAAAAAAAAAGCTGTGCAAATTCATAGTAACTTTCATTTTTTATATGTTCCAAGTGTAGCAGATCTCTATATAAATATATAAATATATATAACTGGCTTATTTTCTTTTAATGTGCAATGATGGCTGGATCATTTAAAGTTCTTTTTAGAAAATAACATAAGCCAAAGACTCAAGTGTAAATATGTCTATATGGAGAAAGCACATTATATTTATTGGTTACTTACATTCCTTTTTTGATGGCTAAAATACTACCACCACACAATCATTTTTGTTTCCGAAGAAAGCTTTTTCTTTAGCTAAAATCAACTGCAAACGATTTTTGTAGATTATTTTTTGTATGTTTTAGTGTAAGTAGAGGATAAACTTTTTATTCATAAACCAGGAAGCAATGTTCTTTATAGTGATTCTCTTGTGTACATGCTTGTGAATTAAATTTATGTGAAACATCTTGGCAATTGTCTATTAATAGAGGACCAAATTAAAACGTTTTGCTGAAAATGTATAGTTTTTCACAATTTCATTAGGTGAACAATGGTTTGGTGATCATATACGAGAAATACACACATTAAAAGGCCTTGCTGGTGACTTGCACAATGTTGAACATAGCCTGTAAGCATTGTTTAAATTTTTAAGGAATCAATCTTTTCAGCCTGTGGCCAAGCACTGGTAGAGAACATAAGATGGCAACATTTATGCTTTCAGGGTCAAGTTTTAGCAAACTGTAAACTGTCAAGGTGATGAAATGTTTCTTTTGATGTTTAACTGCACATGCTTTGGGTTCTGACCGTAGAAAATGTAAACGAATCAATGCCAGATTCCTGTTTTGAGCGTTAACACAGGATACTCAAGTAAACCTAAATGTGGTCTTGTTCACATGCTCCTTGTAGCTGTAACTTCACATCATCGGCTTGCAGTTTGTTACTGACTACAGCATTCCAGTGTCCTCTTTCTAGATTGCCAGTTCATGACATGGTGCTTATAGAGATTTAATTAAAGTAAGAGTGAAATAAAGTTTTTGTAATTATAACAGTTATTGTTTGCACATGATTTTTCTCCTTTTAGTTTTCTTCTTTCACTTTCAAGAAAAGAGCATATTCCTACACTCACTGATACAAGTAAGGCTCAAAAATTTCATTAAAAGAATAACTAGTATCCAAACACTAACAATAGTTTGTTTTAGTTTTATTCCCTACATTGATTGCTAAAATGACCAAGTGAATGGAGGAAGGAACAGCCAGAGTACTGACATCCTTTTTTTTTTTTTTAATTTCTGTATTTATATGTCACTATTCATTTATTTAACACACTTTTTTACTTTATAACAAACTTGAGAACTAGTTTCTCTTCTACATTTTATCAATGGATGAAATTGAACCTAATGAGAAGGTAAATTTGGTAATAGGTTTAAATCTGAGTTTGACTTATTTCTCTCCATCTACTAAATACTCGGCTTCACGACCATCACAAAGATGAACACTTTATTCCTATTGTTTCTCATTAATTGATTTTCTGGTGATGTGTTACCATTATGGGCCTCCTCAAGCTCCCATTTGCTATGTGTGTTACTAGAACATTTGTGACTTTTACTGTAAGAATTCAGAGATAGTGACTTTCTGTTTTTGTAGGAAGGCTAATTTCCACTTAAACATGGAGGCATTTGACTATTAAAGATGGAGACTGTCTTAATCCATTTTCTGTTGCTGTAATGGAATTTCTGGGTTTAGGTAATTTTAAAGAAAATAGGTTGATGTTGGCTCCTATTCTGAAAATCTTCCGAGAGCTTCCAAAGTCCAAGAGCTTGGCTTACCATGAGTGTCTCATGTTACCTTAACTCATGGTGGAAAGGCAAGCAGGTGGGTGTGAAAGAGAGAAAGGGACCTAACACAGGGAAGCTAATCTATGCTCAAGAAAAAAGACACTAATCTGTTCATGAAAATTCTATTCCATGACCAAAATACCACACACTAGGCCCCATTCCCAATACTGCCACTTTAGGGACCAAACCTAATCATGAGTTTTGGTAAGAACAAATCATATTTAACAGAAATATTTAACAAATAACCTACAAACTCATCCAGGATTTCTTTGCCCAGTATGTTAACTATGTCCCTCGCTACTGAGGATTCTGATCTTACTACGTGATCCTGATTTCATTTCTACATACATGATTGCACCTCACACCACCAAAATCACCACGAATACAGAAGTTCATGAAATTCAGCAGTCCACACAGGCTCCAAAATTGAAGTGAAGAGCAAAAGAAGTTCTTTTTCTCTAAATTAAGAAAGAAAAATATTATGCTTGCTCTGTTTGGACACCACAGAGGTTAATTCATCAAGAGACAATGGGTGAAGGGGGTCTGAATCTGTTTTTCAGTAAACTCATATTCAAAAATTCAGACTTGATATCCTTCAGGACTTTCCTAAGTAAACCTGCAAATGGATGACCATGTCCTACCCAGCTGTGTTCCTCTGGGAAGATGTCTTGACAGAGCTGTAAAAGTTGACACCCTTTTTATCTCATGCTTTCCTATCCCTTTGTCAGTTATCCCTAAATGGCTGTCAGGAAGTTGAATTTTACAGATTCCATTCCTGTATATTATCACTAGAAAAATGTTGGAAGTATGTGTGGCCACAGACACACAGGCAAGTGGGAATTTGCAAGTTTTAACCAAGTTCTTTCGAAAGTGTTTTAGCCCACTAGTCTGAGCTGCCTACCTACTCTTTTCCTGGTATTTAGTTTCTGGAGAAAGGAAAAGTTTTTGGATGAAAGCATTACCATGTTGCAGCCAAATGATCCCTGACTTTGAGGAATAAACAAAAAGAAAGATATTTTTTTCCCTGGATATGAAGAAGACAATTTTACATGTACACTGACATGCTGGTGGGCTCATTCAGAATTCATCTTACCAAGAATCTCTGGAATTCCAGGCACTCATGTAACAAGCATGGAAGTCAGACACCAACAACTATTCCTTCTCAGATCTGCTCTGTTTTCAAAAAATGGAACCGATAAGGAAAGAGGTTCCCAGCATCTGAAAAACTTACTAGACACCAATAAATATTAAAATTCAGGACAGTAATGACTGCAGTTCAATGGCAATAAAAGATAATCTTTTAGCTCAGGAAGACTACTCTTGAGGTTAGCCTTGCTTTCATAAAGGAATGAAAATTGTACATTTATATTTCTTTTTTGAGCTTTGTAAGCATTCTTTTTTTTAATAACAAAATAGTCAGAAGTCAATATTCTGTCATAACCCTATTTAATACAGGTTCGATGTGCTATTTTATTTAATACCATTCTAAGGTAAAGGCAGCTGCTGTGCCTCACTTAATAATTTCTACTTATATGTTATTTCATAAAGTCTCCCCACAGCTTACAGAGACTTGAAGTAGGAGTGATATTATTTGAATTTGTTCACAACTCTGGTCTATTCAAGTGGTCTATAGAGTATTAGAATATTATCTCTCCGAAACTAAAAGGAAAAGCCCTGTCTTGGGATTAACTCTAAGTAAGGTGTAAGTGGCTTCTGGTATATAAATTGTCCAAAAAAATCAATGGAAATATGATAGATATATAACACTTTTGAACTTCTAGCATCCTCCAAAGTGAATTGAAATGTTAACCTGGAAGATAACAAACACCAGAGAGACACTGTTGATATCAAATCCTAAAATAAATTAATGGATGGGTTGCTAGGCCACTGAAACAAACATAAGGTCCCTATAGAACACCTGAAAGTTCTTTCTTTAATGTTAAAATCTGCCCATGGAGGAAAGAAGGGAGATATTTTATGACAGATAACATATCTCCTAATGTACTTTCCAATTGGAAAAAAATGATCTACAATACCTACAATCTAACACAGAAAACAGAGTTCTGCTTTATTCTGATGCAGTTGTATTAGTCTCAACATCTGATTACTCTTCTTTTAAGTTTTACTAGTCTTGATTCAGTCTGGAGTATGTTGCAATAAGGCCAAACAGAAACACACATTACGTAGATGTAGGCTATGTGATGATCTATCCAGATAGAGAAACAATCCCTAAATTGAGTCAGCATTGATTTATTTTCTTAAGTAGAAATCAGAATGCACTGGTGGACACAGGCCATGCATTTAGCCTATGGCTCACAATTTCGGAAACAAAATCAAACTGCAAAAGTAGAGGAAGTATGTCTGCCATGGAATCCACTTGTCACTTGAGAGGAGAAAGGCAAACTCGTAGCCACAGGGCTAGGAAGTACTATGAGAGGGGACTTGGGCCATGTATTTTTAAGAATAACCACTCAAGTGGTATTATTACAGCAAATATATTAAAAATGTGTTTTCTGCTATAAATATCTTTCATCTCTTTTATTTAAACAAATGCTTCTCTTGATTCATCTTTCATTTTTCACTGTCAATTGAAACACAGAGACTCGATATTCTGCCATCTTCAGCTCTACTATAAGCCCAAAAGCAATGAATGATACTGGTAAATGACAACTGCAATTGATATGGAGGTCCAGAGACAACAATATGGGGAGGCTGGCTCCCACTTGGAGTTGAAAGCACTTAATATCTAAAGAGGATGACACATACCTCCTGCTAGTCTAGCAATTGCTACATGGAATATGGACCCTTAGTGTCTTGTTTCTCATGAGAGTATAGAAATAAAAATGTTCATATTTTTAAAAATTTGTAATGTTGGTCACCAATTTATTTAAAAAGAAGAAGCAAAACAAAAACAAACCTTTGATCCTACCTCTTCACAACAAACAAACCCTCTGAAGACTATATCTGGTCTGGTATGTAGGAGCTCCAGTTCCAGGTTCATGACCAACATTGCAGAATAACAGGCTTACCTGTTTTGATCTTTAAAAAAAAAATGTTTTTAAAAAACATGAGTTTTAATTGTGTCAAAATATCTATCATAACAGGGTTTTTTCTTCTTTTTTAAAAAAATTTTCTGTTTCAAAAATACGTGTGGATGAATCTTTACTTCTATGGTAGAAAAAATAAAAACATAAAATAAATGTCTCATTCTGCTCCCTAGAAATGAGATTGAATCCCGAAAAGCATATTTCAGAAAGTAACTCACATTTCACCTAGTAAGTGCACCCAAAATGATGACTAAAAAATAATTCTTTGGCAATTCAAATGGAGGGCATTTGCTCTGTGAGCCAGGGGATGGCTTGACCCCTTGGAGTCATAAGTGCACAATAGCATCTGTGGAACCGTGTTTCCAGATTGTGGTGGCACACGCTGACTTCCATGGCAGGTGCAAAACAGCATGGACTCCTGCCAGCCCACAATGGAAACCTGAACTCTACTTCCATAAATCTAATTCCCTGAAGCAGTGTCAGCAGACTGAAATTGATTTCTCTCCACTTTCATGCTATATTATTGGCATGATAAAGTGAGTACATATTTGTTAATTATTTTCTAATGTCCAATTCCTCACTGCTTAAGATGAAATGTGGTCAGTAAGGGGGAAAATATCTACTTTCACATAAGAAATCACAGGATTGATTTTAGCTGTGGAACAATAGAATGTAAGAGAAATGTTTGAGAGTACCACATCCAATGCCCTTATTAATAAGGTTAAGAAATTAAAAACTAGAGAAATCATATGTCTATGAATAAAGGGGCAGATGGTAAATATATTAAGATTTGTGAGCTACTATCTGTTCACGTTCTTCCTTGACTTCATCTTAAAGAATAGCCAAAGTTGGCTCTTGAAATGGAAAGGAAATGATGAAAGAAAGAATTTGGAAGCATTTCAAAGGAAGAATGAACAATGGAAAGAGCAGAATTATGGATATATGTGTATGCATTCATAATAGAATATCCTTTTTACACATTTGTTTTATTAATTACATTTGATGATAGAAACAAAAATATATAACACTGTCTGATATTTACAAAAATTATAATTAGAAAAGAAAAGCTCTAAATGTAAGATTTCCATACCTCACTTGAAGAAGCCTTGAAACTAACTAGATTATAATAATTCATGTATATATATTGTAATGCCCAGATAAATCACTAAA